CACCTGTCCGCAGGTGCACAGTGTAACTGTGATTCCTTCCTGACAGACTGAGGAGGGGCCAGAGCTGTGGCAAGCGGGTAAAACTGCTGCCTATGGCGCTGGCATCTCACACGGGCACCGGCTCAAGTTCTGGCTGCTCTACTTCGCATCCAGCTCCCTGCTGATGTGCCTGCGAAAGCAGTGGAAGATGGCCAAAGTGCTGGGACCCTGCACCCACGTGGGAGACCTGGAAGAAACTCCTGGCTTCAGCCTGGCCCACCTCTGACCATTGTGGTCATTTGGGAAATGAACCAGTGGGTGGAAGATCTGTCTCTCTTTCTGTCTCTAACTCTGCCTTTCAAGTAAATAAATACATCTCTCTCTCTCTCTCTTTCTCTCTCTCTCTCTCTCTCTCTCTCACACACACACACACACACACATATAAATAAGTACATCTTAAAAGAAAAAAGTAACAGAGATCAGGGGACTCACTGGTTTTGTCCCGGGCGCAGTGCTGGGAATCCGCACGGTGACAGTGAGCCAGGTCCTGGGGATTTACGGGGTTGGTGGGAGAGATGTTTCCAGAAATGCGAGTGTGAGGCACAAGGGCGGGGTGCTGGGGCTAGGCTCCCCAGCAGGGCTGCTCGCAGTGCGTGTTGTCCCCACCCATCCACTAGCCTGGGTCATCCCAGAGCTCTCACCCTCACCCCCAAACTGCTTCACTAAGGTCCCCTGAACTCAGCCCACATCTCTCTGTCAGCAGTGGGTGTCAGTGCCTCCACATCTACCCAGAACCCGGTCACTTCTCACCACCTCGGTGCTGCCACCTCCATGCCAGCCAGTACCTGCTCCCCTGTCACCCAGCCTGGTCTCCACCCAGACCCCCTGGCAGGTCCATCTCGGCGCTCAAGCCACTTATCTCCATGCTCACAGGTGTGACATAGCTGGATAGCCCACCTGCACCCACGCCCTGCATTGCACCTGCCAGAGCTGCTTCCGCCCCTCCTTGCTCCCGGCACGTCTTTGCCCAAACCCTTGCTCCTCCCCCAACCCCCCTTTCCACTCTTCCTTCATAGCCATGGAACTCGCTAATGTATCCTGTGTGCTGCTGTCCACCCCTCCCCCAAATGGAAACTGCCTGTGGGTTTCACAGGCCTGCTCTACTCACCCTGTAAACGTTTGCCGAGTGTGTATGTAGTGCACGTGTAGTATGTGTGAGCATGTAGTACACATGTGGTATGCATGCATGTAGCACATATGTAGTATACATGCATGTAGCACATGTGTAGTATGCATGTATGTAGTGCATATGTAGTATGCATGAGTATGTAGTGCACATGTAGTATGCATGTATGTAGTGCGTAAGTAGTATGCATGCATGTAGCACATATGTAGTATGCATGTAGTGCATGTGCAGTATGCGTGAGTATGTAGTGCATGTGTAGTATGCAGTGCACGTGTAGTATGCATGCATGTAGTAAGTAGCATGCATGTATGCAGTGCGTATGTAGTATGCATGTATCACATATGTAGTATGCATGTAGTGTATGTGTAGTATGCGTGAGCATGTAGTGCACACGTGCTTGCATGTATGTAGTGTAAGTAGTATGCATGCATGTAGCGTATATGTAGTATGCATGTAGTGCATGTGTAGTATGCATGAGCATATAGTGCATGTGTAGTATGCATGTATGTAGTGTGTAAGTAGTATGCATGTATGTATCGTGTATGTAGTATGCATGTATGTAGTGCATGTGTAGTATGCGTGAGCATGTAGTGCACGTGTAGTATGCATGTATTAGTGTGTAAGTAGTATGCATGTATGTAGTGTGTAAGTAGTATGCATGTATGTGGTGTGTAAGTAGTATGCATGTATGTGGTAAGTATGCATGTATGTAGTGCATATGTAATGTGCATGTATGTAGCACATATGTAGTATGCGTGTGGTGCATATGTAGTATGCACGAGTATGTAGTGCATGTGTAGTATGCATGAGTATGTAGTACACATGTAGTATGCATGTATGTAGTGTGTAGTGTGCATGTATGTGGCACATATGTAGTATGCGTGTGGTGCATATGTAGTATGCATGAGCATGTAGTGCATGAGGGTGAGCAGGCAGAACAACAGTTGGTGTTTGTTTGAAGACAGTTTGAATGGTTGTTCTAGAAGCTGCTGTTGCCAGTGCAAACAGCAAAGCGTTTCTCAAGCGGTTTGTCTCACAGCCTCTGGTTCAGAGAAGCTCACTGGTCCTTGTTTGTAGAGAGCAACTTGTATAAGGCACAAAAATGTTGAAATCCGCTTAACATTGTTCTTCAAACAAAAAGGACGCAGAAGGGGGTCACAGTGGCTGGACCAGTCCCCAGCAACCCCATCTCCCTTCTTCAGAGACAGTTGATAAAGAAGTCTGGGAGTTCTCTCAATCCACTCAAAATAAGTCCTTGATTTTACTGGCTACGATTTGCAAAAATCATTCCTAACTCTTGCTTGGTTGAAACACAGAAGGCGACAGAACACCCCTAACTTGAAGCCTGATGACTTTGCTCCAATGTTGTTGGGTTTGTGGTTTAAGGAGCTGGGATTTCGGAATCCTTTGAGCCTTTGTATAATGTGCACAAAGGATCTGTCGCTGTAACTGTCAAGGCGCCAGTGTTTCTGCCTGAAACACATTCGTGTCCTTTTTCTGTGCTTAGTGAGCTGGAATAAAGGCTACCGCGGGCCTGGCCACCAGGACTGCCCACAGGAACCCGTGGGGCAGAATTCCAAGTAGCTGGACGGCCACGGTGGTGTGAGGGCGTGAGTGTTAGTGTGGCCTTGTGAAGGAGGTCTCCAGCCCATGGCCGGGGCACAGCAAAAGAGGAGGAGGTTAGTGAGACCGTGGGTGAACTGCTCCCTGTTGCCGAATGCTGGTGGCGTGCACTGCCTTCTCCTGAGACGCCCACCCTGCTGCCCGATGTCCATGCTGCGTGGGACCAGAGAGGCCCCTGGCTGTCCTGGTCAGGGGCAGATGGCTCTGAGCCAGCGGTTATGCAACCAGGGGAACGCTTCTGGGATCCAGGCCCTTCTGCTGATTGAAATGCAGGGAACCATCCTCCTCGCCCCGGCTTGGCACAGGCTGCCCAGCTTTTGTTCCATGTGTCAATAGTTCTTGCTGGAAGCCCCTCACCCAAAGACCCGCGCCCCCAGCGGCAGGACGACCGTGGAGGTAAGCGGGCAGACAGACGGTAAGCCCCTGGGGACGTCCTCCATGACCTGTGCAGCACTTGGCGTTGCAGTCCCCAAGTCCCTAACGGGGGCTGAAGTGCCCGGCTCAGTGACGGTTTGAAGTGGAAGCCTCGGCTGGCCCAGCGCGGACCCCGCGGGCCATCCTCCCTGGAGAGGGACTGGGCTTGCTTAGCGCTAAGCCCGCCGTCGTCGTCACATCTGCAGCTCCCCAGTGCCAACAGAAAACGTGTCTCTGGAGAAGAGTCCGGGACGGAGCTGCTTCGGCGCAGTGTCGCACGGTCGCGGTGCCCACAGCTCCATGACACGGGAGGAGCCGTTCCGGGAGGACCTGGGCTATGACCGCATGCCCACGCTGGAGCGGGGGCGGCCAGACCCAGGGAGCTACGGCCCCGACACCAAGCCCGGCGACCTCCAGCTGTCGAGAAGGCTGCCCTCGTGCTTCAGCTACAAGACACGGGTCTTCTCTGTGCTGATGGGGGTGAGTGACCCGCTACGTCCCCTGGAGTCCCCAGTGCTGGGTTCTCTGTGTCATTGTCTCCCTCACCTCCCACTGCCCCACCCCACACAGGCCTCTGCACCTGCATGTGTCCCCTGGGAGAGGAGCCAGCCAGGCACCACAGAGCCCATAGAGTCAGTGTGAGGCCGGCACAGTCACCAGGGCCCTTGGCTCCTGGGGGCTCCAGGAGTTGCCCAAGACATTGCCTGCAGAAGCAGGGTGGGGGCATGTCTGGGGTGGGAGCCCTGGGCCAAGGGTCGTGTCTGGGCAGCAGGCCCGGACCAGGTGGGGCCAGGTCCAGATATTTGAGGGACTCTCCTGGGGTCCTGGGCATTTCCTAAGCAGGCAGGTGGACACTTGGGTAATCAAGGGGGGCCGTGCTGTCCCAAGTGTGCACATAGCCAACAGGAAGGCCACTGAACTGGCCTTTCTGCGGATAGAACTCCGGGGCCCACACAGCCCTGAGCTGAAGAATGGGATCCAGGTCCTGGCTTCCCTTCTCCCCGAGCCCCAGGCCACCTGGCTACCCCTGCATCACATGCAGTGGTCCTGCCTGCACCCTCAGCCATGAGCCCACCCGCAGGACAGGTGCACCCTCTGACCTCCCTCCTGCCCCTGGTGGGTGATGGGCAGTGGGTTCTACTCTCCTGGAGCCTCACCCTGGCCTGGCCACGGCCCCTACTCGCAGGCCTGTGGCCAGAGTGCCTCACTCCATTCCTGGCCCTCCTCCTATAGGTAGGTGCGGGGGTCCTCTCACCAAATGTCACCTTTGCCCCCCACCCTGGGATCCCAGGATCCAAGAACCTTCAAACACCCACCCTGGTGTGATTTTTTTTGGGGGGGGGGGAGGGACAGGCAGAGTTAGACAGTGAGAGAGAGAGACAGAGAGAAAGGTCTTCCTTTTTCCGTTGGTTCACCCCCCAAATGACCACCATGGCTGGCGCGCTGTGCTGATCCAAAGCCAGAAGCCAGGTGCTTCCTCCTGGTCTGCCATGCGGGTGCAGGGCCTAAGCACTTGGGCCATCCTCTGCTGCACTCCCGGGCCACAGCAGAGAGCTGGACTGGAAGAGGAGCAACCAGGACAGAATCTGGCGCCCCAGCTGGCACTAGAACCGGGGGTGCCGGCACCGCAGGTGGAGGATTAGCCTAGTGAGCTGCGGTGCTGGCCCCTGGTGTGATTTTACACCACAGGGGCAGCCCGGCTCCCATGGGGGCCTCCGCTGCTCAGGCTCCACTATGGCCAGACTCCACTTTCCAGGTGTTGGCTGTTGGCTCCTGCAGAGGCAGCTGAGGGGCTGTGTTTCCAGGACCCGTTCCCAGATCTGGGGCGTCCTCCAAGGTGCGGGTCCCGGGGTGAAGGCACTTTCTGGGGGAGCACCCACCCCTCCTTGAAATTAGAGTGAGGTGCTTGCTCCCAGGGGGCAGGGCTGTGTCCTCCTCCGGGTCAGCAGGGCCCAGGCACAGCTGCCGTTGAGGCCATGGCCTGTTAGATGAGGGAGAGCAGCCAACTCGCCCTCGCAGCCCTGGGCTGAGCTTCAGACGTTTCAACCCGGGTCTGTGTCGGCCTCTTGCAGAGCTGCCTTCTTGTCACCTCGGGGTGCTCGCTGTACCTGGGGAGCGTGTTCCCCTCAGAAATGGACTACCTGCGCTGTGCGGCCGGCTCGGTAAGCAGCGTCCCCGCCCTGCCTCTCGGGGCCAGCTCAGTTTCTCCGCCCTGAGACTCACAGGCCTCTGTCCTGCCTCACAGACTCTCTTCCTCTGGCTTTAGCTTCGAGGATCTGTTCCTTTTGAAAATCGTTGGTGTGCTGGGGCTGAATCTCACCCTGCAAACGCCTGTGCGCTTGCTCTGTCCAGCCCCTGGTCAGGCCCTGACCCTGTGGCCTTCTCCTGCCCCCTGCCCCGCCAGTCCCCTTGTGTGCCCTCAGAGCCCCCGTCTTCACTCCTGCCCAGACCCGGGGTCCTGTGGCCCACAGGAGCAGCCCAGGCCTGGGCCAGCCCACGCTGTCCACCCCCCATTGCCTACCCTGGCCTTGACTCCTGGCCTTGGGGGTCACAGCGCAGAGGTCAGGGGTCTGACGAGAGCCCCTGAGGCCCTGGGACCCCTGAGTGTGAAGGGAGCGTTTCTCCCTCCTCACAGGCAGTGCCTTCTTGCTGGCAATGCCTTGGACCGCCCTGCACTTCCGAGGGCCGCAAGGCGGATTCCAGCATCAACGTCCTCGCTCTCCAGGAAACAAGACCTTTGTTCGGAATAGACAGTGCTGAAGTCCTGGGCACGTCCCGCACCTTGAGGGGACCGCAGATGTGGTCGTGCTGATGCGGCTCAGATCATTCCAGAAGCTTAGAATTTTAACACATCATTTCAAAACTATTTTTTGTTTATGTAATTGATTTAAAAGGCATATATATATATATATATATAGAGAGAGAGAGAGAGAGAGAGAGAGAGAGAGAGAGAATTCTCATTCACTTGCTCACTCCCCCAAATACCGACAACAGTCAGGGCTGGGCTGAGCAGAAGTCAGGAGCTGGGAACTCCACCCAGTCTCCCATGTGGCTGGCAGGGAGCTGTCACCTACAGCCCCCCAAGGTGTGAGTCAGCAGGAGGCTGGAGGAGAGGCGGGTCCCAGGCACTCGGATCCGGGCTGCGCTGCGCTGTTTGATAGCTGTGACTGCCCAGCTTGGGTGCTCAGGGACCCTCGCCCACTTTGTCTGGCTTCCTTGCAGTGCATCCCCTCAGCAATTGTGAGCTTTGTGGCTTCCAGGAGGGACATCAATGCGGTGAGTCCATCCCCTAAGCCCGTGTGTGCCTATGCCTGCCCACAGACGCCTGTGGCTGGGTCACCAAGAGGGTCCCAGAGGCGTCCCCACCCCACGCTGAAGGGATTTCGGTGCCCCCATCCCCAGGGTTTCCACCTCACCCCAGGGAGCCTGCCTTGCTGCCCCCTTCCTGTCCCTGGCATTCAGAGAAGGGACCCCTTCCTCCTGTTTTTCAGATCCCCAACTTCCAGATACTGTTTGTTGCCACGTTCGCTGTCACAACGACCTGCTTGATCTGGTTTGGATGCAAACTGGTCCTGAACCCGTCGGCAATAAACGTGAGTCCCTGGGAAGGGCGTGGTCGCGGGTGGTCAGCGTCTGCCGCGGCGCTGCTGAGGGGCGCGCTCCGTGTCGGCAGAGACGGACACGGGCATGGCAACGCTGGTCACGGCTCTTGGGTGGGACAAAGGCTGGGCACTGTATTTATGTATTTATGCTTCTGAGGAAAAGAGTCATCTCGTTGAACTCTGGATGACTCCAGTGGACAGATTTATTGATCAACAAAAATATTTCAAATATCTCTTTTGCAATGGTCCTTAACAACGAGTGGTAGGTAACACGATGCCGTACTTCACCCATGTCGAGGGAGACACACAGTTTAGATCATGACAAGGAGAGAAAGCTCACTGAAATAAGGACCTGGGCAGACCTCAAAAGAGAATGAAAGGAAGAAAAAGACAAAGGAGAGAGAGGGAGAGAGAGAGGAAGGAAGGAGAAAGAGAAAGCGAGGCAGCTTCCCGCTTTGTGCAAAACGCAAGACATCCCAGGGATGCCCCCGCCAGGCGCCCACGGCAAGGAAAGCGACGGAGGGCGGGAGAGAGCACCCGGCACAAGGCAGGGCACTCTCCTTCCCACTCGCTGGCGTCACTCGGAGCACTGGCCAGGCTGCCTGGTGGGAGACGCAGTGTCCAGCACCATTGTTTGTGCATTCAACACTGGTGTCACTTTACAGTCAGACATGTGACGGTCCTTGTGCATTCAACACTGGTGTCACTTTACAGTCAGACATGTGACGGTCCACGACCCATGACAAGCTCTGCGAGACAGCCAGTGGGTTAGGACACACCAGCGGAGGCCTAGACCCGCACGAGAACCAGCGTCATGGGTGGGGCCCTCCTCTCCGATGGACCCCCAGTGGATGCACCTGCACCCAGGATCCCAGGGGCATCGCAGTGAGCAAGTCGGGTTCCAGTCCAGGGTCTTGTCTCCTGCAGACAAAGGCACTACGCGGAGAGGGGCACCATGCGCACGTAGCCACAGAATTTACCTGTTGAATGGAGAGGGAATGAACATACATCCATGGAAATGCCTGTGAAGGAGGGGGGGGATAAGGAGAGGGAGGAGGGGGAGGGAGAGGGAGAGAAAGAAACAAGTGTGGTACCTCTAAGCGGAAGTGAGAGCAGTCCACCCAAGAGTGGCTCGTGGTGAGGAAAGAACTCCGCCACCTTCCAACTCTGTGGGCAAGGAAGGGGTGGTACCTGTCCTATATACAAGCCGTGGGGCCTTAGCACGTGCCCAGGCGTGTGGAGCTCACGGAGAGACAGCATCAGTCTGCAGGAGGTCAGGAATTCCAGCTCTCCTAGACTCTGCTGTCCAGTTAGACCACGTCACCTGTGGCTCTGTGGAAGGAAGCCCCTCCTTGAGGAACAGGCTGGGGACATGTCCCCCGCCACCAAGAATGGTGGGACAGCTTCCCTGGTGGGCAGCGTGGTCTCGGCACAGGGCAGAGGAACCCTTGGACCAGCTTAGCCTGGAGTCACCCACAGCACAGGCCCCACCTGCTGCCTGCCACGGAGCAGGTCCAGCCTGGGGCACAGCCGGGAGGGGCCCAGGCTCTCAGGGGTTGGAGAGATGGTCCCAGAGCCCTCAGGGTGAATCAGGCACCCTCCGAGGACAAGGACGAGGACAGGGACACTGGAGCCGTGTCGGCAGCTGGAGCAAGGCTGGTCTCCTGCCCCGCGGCCTCTCCACCTTTGTGTCCAGGGCCCCGCGGAGGCTGCTGCTTGCGGCTCCACCCCATGTGCCTTCCACATCCTGTCTTTCTCCTGCTTCGGGGCAGGATCCAAGTCCTGCGGCTCTCACCGGCTCCATGCTCCTGGGTGTGCCCTGCTGTGCGTCACGTGAGAAATCATCTGTCCCACTCCCCTCGCTTTGTGCAACGCTGACGTTCCCATTGTGAGTGATCTCAGAACAGGTGTCCCAGAAGCCGCAGTGGGATTTTGCACGGTCACCTGAAGCGCACGGACGCTCTGTGAGGTCGGGGCCCTGTTGACCTCTGCGCTTCCGGGCTGCTTTGGGGGTTCCAGGACTGAGTGCTGTGTGTTCCTGGGCAGCTCACCCCTGCGCAGCTTGCAGCTTCGCTACCGGGGAGAATGCTGATTTTTTTTAAATTACATTTTCAGACTGGCTATGGCTAGGGTAGAGAGGCTATTGTTTTTTAAAACTATTTTTGAAATATTTTAAGTAAAAAAAATTTGCAAAAATGATGCAGAGGTCCTGTGCACCCCTCATCTCACAGAAGCAGAGCAGGTGGTCGCCAGCTGGCAGCCGACATTGGCACAATGTGTAGGTAGGGTTAGACCTTACTCAGATTTTTCCACCTTTTTTTTTTTTATTTGACAGATAGAGTTAGACACTGAGAGAGAGAGATGGAGAGAAAGGTCTTCCTTCCATTGGTTCACCCCCCAAATGGCCGCTATGGCCGGAGCTGCGCCAATCCGAAGCCAGGAGCCAGGTGCTTCCTCCTGGTCTCCCATGCAGGTGCAGGGTCCAAGCACTTGGGCCATCCTCCACTGCCCTCCCGGGCCACAGCAGAGAGCTGGACTGGAAGAGGAGCAACTGGGACTAGAACCTGGTGCCCATATGGGATGCTGGCGCCGCAGGCAGAGGATTACCCAAGTGAGCCACGGTGCCGGCCCCAGATTTTTCCACTTTTTAAAGAGATTTATTTTTTGTTTATTTGAAAGGTGGAGTTACAGTGAAAGAGGGAGAGACAGAGAAAGAGAGACCTTCCATCCATTGGTTCACACCCCAAATGGCTGCAATAGCCGGAGCTGAGCTGGTTGGAAGCCAGGAGCCAGGAGCTTCTTCCAGTCTCTCACCTGGGTGCAGGGGCCCAGGCAGTTGGGCCATGCTCTGCTGCTTTCTCAGGTGCATTAGCAGAGAGCTGGATGGGAAGTCGAGCAGTCAGGACTTAAACCTGCACCCATATGGGATGCCGGCACTGTAGGTGGTGGCTTTACCCACTATGCCACAGTGCTGGCCTCTAGATTTCCCCCACATTTTAAAATGGATTTCTGGGGACCGGTACTGTGGTATAGTAGGTAAAGCTGCCACCTGCAGTGCCAGCATCCCATATGGGCGCCGGTTCAAGTCCCAACTGCTCCACTTCTGATCCAGCTCTCTTCAATGGCCTGGGAAAGAGATCCAGCTCTCTTCAAAGTCCTTGGGCCCCTGCACCTGTGTGGAGAGACCTGGAAGAAGCTCCAGGCTCCCGGCTTTGGATCAGTGCAGCTCCAACCTTTGTGACCATCTGGGGAGTGAATCTGTGGTTGGAAGATTCTCTCTCTCTTGCCCTTGCTCTCGCTCTGCCTCCCTGTAACTCTGCTTATCAAACAAATAAATCTTTTTAAAAAAAAATCTAAGAAAATGGATTTCTGTAAGATGATTTTGTGTCTGGCACCTTTGCCGATCTCTGGGGTCTGTGTTGGTGTTCTGACCACATCATCTGCAAACAATGATGGCTCAAGGGTATGTCTTTTCTTTACAGGACTGTCACACAGTGCAGTGGCATCTCATCTTATCCTTGCATGGCAGTGGAGTATCACTGAGGACCTCCATTAACTCTTATTTATTTGAAAGACAGAGATTTGTCCATCTGCTGGTTTAGTCCCCAAATGCCTGTAACAGCTGGGGCAGGGCCAGACTGAAGCCAGGAGCTGGCAACTCAGGTCAGGTGTGGCAGGGACCCGACTACCTGACCTTCGTCTGCTGCTTCCCCAGGGGAGCACTAGCAGGAGCTGGAACTGGAAGCGGAGCCAGGCTCTCCAATATGGGATGCAGGCGTCCCTAGCAGCACCTTAACCACTAGGCCACTAACTTTTTTTTTTAAGATTTATTTATTTTATTTGAAAATCAGAGTTACACAGAGAGAGGAGAAGTAGAGAGAGAGAGAGAGAGAGAGAGAGAGAGATGACTTCATCTGTTGGTTCACTCCCCAATTGGCTGCAACAGCTGGAGCTGTGCCGATCCGAAGCCAGGAGCCAGGAGCTTCCTCCTGGTCTTCCACGTGAGTGCAGGGGCCCAAGGACTTGGGCCATCTTCTACTTCTTTCCCAGGCCATAGCAGAGAGCTGGGTCAGAAGTGGAGCTGGGTCTTGAACTGGCGCCCATATGGGATGCTGGCACTGCAGGCCAGGGTGTTAACCTGCTGCGCCACAGCGCTGGCCCTGCCACTAACTTTTTGATATGTAACTGATGCTGTGGCATAGTGGCTAGAGCTGCTGCCTACAGTGCTGGCATCCCACATGGGTGCCGGATCAAGTCCCGGCAGCTCCACTTCTCATCCAGCTCCCTGCTGTGGCCTGGGAAAGTAATAGAAGATGGCCCAAGTGCTTGGGCCCCTGCCCGGGTGGGAGACCTGGAGGAAGCTCTAGGCTCCTGGCTTCGGATCGGCCCAGCTCTGGCTGCTGCGGCCAACTGGGGAGTGAACCTGCAGATAGAAGACCTCTCTCTCTCTCTCTCTCTCTCTCTGTGCCTCTGCCTCTCGGTAACTCTGCCTTTCAAATAAATAAATCTTTTTTTTAAAAAAAGAAAAATGTTCTCTTCAAGTCCTGGTTTGCTACATTTTCAAAAATTTTGAACACATAAATATATGTGGAACTTTGACAGTGCCCTTTGCAGGTGTGGGTGACCCCTGACCCCTCCTCCTCTAGCCAGGCCATGCGGTGAGCTGGCTGCCCAGCTTCTCTGGTGTGAAGGTGGTTTTCTTGGTCTCCGTCCTCCGCCCCAGTGGCTGCCTGGCCAGGGTTGGTGAGGGTCTGTGCATCGAGGCTCCTGAGTGAAGTGGGCCTCTGCTCCCTTCACCTGCCCTTGGAAGCAGGATTGGCCTGGCTTCAAGGGCAGCTTTTCCATCTTCCGGAGCAGCTTGATTCGATAAGAACTGGCTCTTCCTGGAAAGTCCGGTAGAACTCACCGGAGATCGCCCCACTGAACGCCTTTGGTGAGCGGGTCTTCCATTATTGTGGTTAGAGTTTTCTTGTGTTACGTTTAAAAACTCTTGTGTTAGATTTTTAAAAATCTTTATTTGAAAAAGAGAGAAAGAGAAACAGAGAAACACACACACAGATTGAGAGACAGAGATCTTCCATCCGCTGGTTCACTCAGAAGCCTATAACAAAAAATAAATAAATAAAAAAAAAATAAGCCCATAACAGCCAGGTCTGGGCCTCCTGCAAAATGACGCTGTCTCTCTGAGCTCCATACGCCTGGGCGCCTGCTAAGGCCCTGCTTCTCTGTATATGGGACTGGTGCCACCCCTTCCTTGCAGACAGCTGGAACTCTGGGTCCCCCACGTGGGTGTGCACAGCAGAAGCGGAAATCAGGAGTGGAGCTGGAGCTGGAGCTTGTATATGGGTGCAGGTGTCACCGCTACCCCCAGGCTGCTTACTGTTTGTCAGAAATGTGCCCAGGTAGCCAGGCTTTCCCGCTGTAGCTCCTCATCTCTAATCCGGGCCATCTGTGCTTATTTCTTTTTTATTCTGTATCTGTGTGCATCGTGAGCTCATCCTTTCCTTCTTTTCTTCCTGCTGCGTGTGGATTTGCTCTCTGCTCCCATGGCAACTTCCTGTCCCTTCCCCCGTCAGCCACTCTCGTCCTCGGCACGTTTCCGGTCAGCACCAGCTCAGCCGTGCCCCAGAAGCCCACACCTGCCGTTTGGTCAACGTTTCCTTCTAAGTATTTAGAAATTTCCCTTTTTGTTCCTCCAGCTCCACGTTCCTCCCCTGTCCCGCTGTCCATCCAGGAGGTGGCTGGCATGGACTGTCCACTGGGCACCCTTGCTCTCTGGCCTCCATGGGGCTTGGACCATGGGGTTACATTCGGGACCTGAGACACAGCCTGGGATATTTATCCCCTTTGGAGTGGGTTGGCCAGGAGCTGGCCTTCTATCAAGGCCTCCTCCCTCCTGCAGCCCTCCCCTCCAGGCCTGGGTGGGAGCTGCGTCTGTGGCCCCTACCGTGTGCGGTCGTAGGTCCCTCATTGCTCCACTTCGCTGCCCGGTTGTGATCCATTCTCTCTTTAGAGCTTCTTCCAAGGGCCTGGCCATTTGGGGCAGGAGCCTGAGTAAGCACATATCAGTTTTTTGTTTTTTTTTGTTTTTTTTTTTTTGTTTTTGACAAAGTTATAGACAGAGAGAAAGGTCTTCCTTCCGTTGGTTCACTCCCCAAATGGCCGGTACGGCCGGCGCTGCGCCGATCCAAAGCCAGGAGCCAGGTGATTCTTCATGGTTTTCCATGGGGGTGCAGAGGCCCAAGCACTTGGGCCATCCTCCACTGCCCTCCCGGGCCACAGCAGAGAGCTGGACCGGAAGAGGAGCAGCTGGACTAGAACCCGGCGCCGCAAGTGGAGGATTAACCAAGTGAGCCACAGTGCCAGCCCCGATATCAGTTATTTTTAAAGACCCTCCCCTAATGACACAGACCCCTGATGCCATTCCCTCTGCCTGCAGTACATGGATTTGGAACTTAGCCAGCCTTGCTTTGTGGCCCAGTGCGTGGCTGGTTCTACCAGTGCTCCGCCAGTGCTGTGGGCAGCTATGGAGGGATTTTGCAGATCAAACTTTTTTTTTTTTTTTTGGACAGGCAGAGTGGACAGTGAGAGAGAGAGACAGAGAGAAAGGTCTTCCTTTGCCGTTGGTTCACCCTCCAATGGCCGCCGCGGCCGGCGCGCTGCGGCCGGCGCACCGCGCTGATCCGATGGCAGGAGCCAGGAGCCAGGTGCTTTTCCTGGTCTCCCATGGGGTGCAGGGCCCAAGCACCTGGGCCATCCTCCACTGCACTCCCTGGCCACAGCAGAGGGCTGGCCTGGAAGAGGGGCAACCGGGACAGAATCCGGTGCCCTGACCGGGACTAGAACCCGCTGTGCCGGCGCCGCAAGGCGGAGGATTAGCCTAGTGAGCCACGGCGCTGGCCTGCAGATCAAACTTATCATTTGCCGCTGTTTTGAAAGTCGGGCTCCCCAGGTGTGAGGCTGGACGATCAGGTGATGATTCCCTAGGAGACGAGTGTCGCAGGTGCCCAGAGGAGGGGGCACGGCACACATGGGACCCACGGGGAGGCAGCAGGGTCCTCACAGGTGGGCAGGGAGGGGGAGGCAGGGTAGCAGCTCAGGAACAGCCGGCTGGAAAAACTTCCACGGGTGCTGGGGGTGGGGCTGCCCCCGGGGGGGCCTGGTTCCTGCCCTGGGGTGCTGAGAGCAGGTGGGTTGTGGCCCTGAGTGTGCGAGCCCAGGGAGGAGGTGGGGGCAGGGGCTGTGTGCCTGGGAAGTCCTCGCCGCCCAGGGAAGGGCTGCCTCCCGAGTCAGCAAGGTCCCCTGTGGTAGGAAAGCAGCAGAGGAGGGAGGTGAAAGGCGTGGTTAGTGCAGCCTTTTCTGACTGGCAGAGTTCTTCCGTTGTCTGGGGAGACTGTGGATCAGCTTGGCTAGCCGGCTCTCGTCACTTACAATGCGGGGAAGAAGTCACTTAGGGAGAAGGAAGGCTTATTTCAGCTCACGGTTTGGAGGTTCATGGCCCAATAGAGACACCCCCAGACAGCCAGGGAGCAGCAGTTCCCCACTGCTGTGTCTCCTCCAAGCTGCCAGGACTGTGCCTTGGCCCCACCCTGGGACCCTAATCCCAACCAGTGACCCCCAAAGGCCCCCCCAGACTCCACCCGCGATCGGCCTCCACCCTAACCCTCCAACCACTAAGGTACTGAGGCTGAACTGGCTGCGTGCGTTTGGTTAGCCAGATGGGTTCGTCCCCGGGCAGCGTGTGAAGCTCGGCCCCTGCGGCTGGTGGCTCCCGCGTCCGACCCACGTCTCCCCGCTGCCCAGACTTCTGCGTCCTGCCCCCTTTCTGCCCCCTTTCTGCTTGCACACGCACCGTATGCGCCACCGAGGGACACGGGTCCCCCCCTCTGGTTTCACAATCTGTTCTCCGGTTGCTGCCCGGTTACGGGGTCTCCTGAGCGGCCTTTCTGAGACACGCGGCAGCCGGCTTAGTTCCTGCACGCCCCAAAGCCCTCGTGTTTCAGCGTGGGGAGGTTTTGCAAGGGGCTGCTCTGCAGGTTTCTGTGTGAAGCGCAAGTGAGAACGGTGCGGCCGGGTCCTGCCGCGGGGCCTGTTTGTGTGGCCTTTGAGCTGAGGGTCCTCGGAGCCACGTGCCCCAACAGTGGCCGCCCGCTGTGCCTCGTCCAGGTGACCCACCTGCGCCCTCCCTTGGCAGATAAACTTCAACCTCATCCTGCTGCTCCTGTTGGAGCTCCTCATGGCAGCCACGGTGATCGTCTCCGCCCGGTCCAGCGAGGAACTTCGCAGGAAGAAGAAGGTGGGTGGGGTGCCCCCTATGGAGTCGCGCCCTCCATGGGGTCCAGTCTGCGCCTGGGGGTGAGAGGCTCAGTGGCCGATGGCCTCGGGAAGGTGCAGACAAAGACCCCACACCACTTTCTCCCCATCAAGCACTCAGCCCCAGTGGTGTCATGGAGACACCAGATCTGCTGAAAATATCTTATGGTAACTAAGCCCAATTCTGTGTGCCAGGAAAATGTCCACATTTGCATCTTCCTGAAACCTGAAGACCACACTGCAGAACAGGGCCAGCCAGATTCAACCCCAGACGGCTGACCCCCAGGGACCACACCTCAGAACAGGGACCACATCTCAGAACAGGGCCAGCTAGGTCCATCCCCAGACGGCTGACCCCCAGGGACCACATCTCAGAACAGGGCCAGCCATCTCCATCCCCAGACGGCTGACCCCCAGGGACCACATCTCAGAACAGGGCCAGCCAGCTCCATCCCCAGACGGCTGACCCCCAGGGACCACATCTCAGGGCCAGCCAGATCCATCCCCAGACGGCTGACCCCCAGGGACCACATCTCAGAACAGGGCCAGCCAGATCCATCCCCAGACGGCTGACCCCCAGGGACCACATCTCAGAACAGGGCCAGCCAGATCCATCCCCAGACGGCTGACCCCCAGGGACCACATCTCAGAACAGGGCCAGCCAGATTCAACCCCAGATGGCTGACCCCCAAGGGTACATGCCCCACCCACCATCTGCACCATCCATGGGGCACACCCACCCCCGGGCGCACACACCACTGTCGCTGTGCCCCTGCTGGAGGCTGACGAGGCTCTCTCCCTGCAGGGCGCCCTTCCTGAGAGCACCAGTCCGGGGGAAGAGGTGGCGTTCCCTGCTCGGGTCCTGAAGTCCTACTCAGTAAGAGCACTGCTCCTTTTGTCCTCTGTCCGTGTCTCACTGACGGAGGGGCTGAGTCTGGGTGAGATCTTCTCGTATTCGCAGGGTGACTAGATGTGTGTGTAGAAGGCACGCGAGGCCCTGCTCCGCGTCTGCAGGGGACGTTCCGGTCGCCGGCTACAGAGGTTCTGGTGTTGCTGCGTGTTCAGGGCTGGGGCTGAGGTGGAAGTTAGTGCCGTGCAGGCACAGGAGTGTCGGCGTGGGTGTGTGCCGGCTGGGCCCCCAGCCCTGAGGAGGCCCCTTTGCTCTGGAAGGGCCCTGGTCTGGGGGTAAACCATGGCCGCCCTCTCCTTCTGTGCCCTCGCCTGACGTCTTGCCTGTGGTTCTGGTCCACGTGTTCTGTGAGTGGGAGATGTGTTGAGAGGCCTGATGTGAGTGGGTGCTCCTGATTGGCCGGCCGTGTCTCCATGTGACACTGTGGGGACAGACACTTGATGAGACTCACACTCAGGGCCAGAGTTCTGGGGCCCGCGCTTTCGGTGGCACACCAGTCTGGGTTGTTCCGTGGTGGATTTCATTGTTTTCATGCTTATCCAGCAGCCTTCAGCGTACTTGTGGCCGTGGCATCCGTATCGACTGGTTCAGCTTCATCCATGGCCTTCGTCTGGATCTGGCCACGACTGTCCGCTGTGTTCTCAGGCGTGTGTCTTGCTCACTTATTTTCGTCCAGCCTTCTGTGCCCTCTCTCCAGCCTCCTGCGTGAACCTACTCGCTCTGTGTCCAGCGTCTGCTTTGTTCTCCATTTTCCTGCCCTTTCTGCCTTCTTTGAGCTGGTTGAAGCATCTTCCTTCCTTTTCCAAATAATTTTGGATCAGAAAAGAAAGTGTCTTCGTGGTTGTGTGAGGAGCTGCTCTTGGTACTTTAAGAAATCACACAGTTTTCTCCGGGCAGTTGGGGCTGTAGTCACCGTCCCTCCTGGCTCTGTTGTCTGATGCCTACCCCAGGTCTCTGCTTTTGCACCGGAGGTGGGGCTCCCTGTCTGCCCCTCAGCCGGGTTTGCTCCCAAGACTCCACTTCTGCTCCCTTCAACTCCCAGTGCTTCCTCCTGGATCCATGTCTCTTCTTAATGCATTGCCTTGCAGAGTTTCTTTTTCTTCTCTTTTTAAAAAAATTATTTGTTTGAAAGAGTTACAGAGGAAGAATCTTCTATCTGCTGGTTCTGAGCCAGGCCAAAGCCAGGAGCCAGGAGCTTCATCCAGGTCTCCCACATGGGTGGGAGGGGCTCAAGTGGCAGGCCATCTTCTACCACTTTTCCCAGGCCATCAGCAGGCAGTTGGATAGGAAGTGGAGCAGCTGGGACAGGAACCGGTGCCGATGTGGGATGCTGGTATCACAGACCATGGCTTTACCTGTTGTGCCATAATCCTTGCAGGGTTTCTGAAAGGGTGTGTGGTGTGATTTTCCTGAGTTCCCCTCACCTCATTTTTTTTAAGTTCACACTTTAGTTCTGTTTATTTATTTATTTACTTTTTAAGATTTATTTTACATTTATTTGAAAGAGTTACAGAGAGAGGTAGAGACAGAGAGAGAAGTCTTCCATTCACTGGTTCACTCCCGAGATGGCCGCAATGGCCAGAGCTGCGCCGATCCGAATGCAGGAGCCAGGAGCTTCTTCCGGGTCTATGGGTGCAGGGGCCCAAGGACTTGGGCCATCTTCCACTGCTATCCCAGGCCACAGCAGAGAGCTGGATCGGAAGAGGAGCAGCCGGGACTAGAGCCGGTACCCATATGGGAGGCTGGCACTGCAGGCCAGGGCTTTAATCCTCTGCGCCAACTGCCGGCCCCAGCACCTCATTCTTAAGTGATCATTTTAGCCAGGGAAGATTTCTGGCTTGGCAATTTCAGTCAGTGTGGCCACCTCCCTCTGCAGGTGGTCCCTGCTGTCCCCGCCCACCGCTGCCTGTCACTGTCTCTGCAGGTGGTCCCTGCTGTCCCCGCCCACCACTGCCTGTCACCATCTGCAGGTGGTCTCTCTGCTTCTGGCATTTCACTCCCATGGCTGCCGTCTCTCTCTGGTCCATTTGTCCCTCCTGGACTTTGTGCCCCCAAACATGAAGAAGCCAGCTGGCCCTCCCCAGCTGTCCCAAACCTGTGTCCCAGGCCGGCACACCGCTGGCTGAGCCTCTCGTGACTGCCTTCCCCACCGCGCGGCACCATGTGTGGCGTCACGGCCAGTCCTCATTTATGTGTTTCTGTGGTGTGGCCTCCCCGGTGATCCCTGTGTCTGCCGCAGCCGCAGCCTCTCTGACCCTCCACCAGCACACACCCTACGTCAGCCTCTGTGGCAGGAGAGAGAAGAAGGGAGAAGTCCCTGTCTGCAGGCCGGGGCCGTGTGTGGGGTAGTGGATGCCTGGCCCTGGGTGTGGGCACCTGCCCGCTGCACCCTGGGATCGCGGGGGCCATGCCATCTCCCCAGGGCAGTGCGCGGCGGGTGTGGTGGTCCCCGCGGGTGACGCCGTCCCATCGCTCCCCAGGTGGTGGAGGTGATTGCCGGGGTCTCTGCTGTCCTTGGGGGGGTCATAGCCCTGAACGTGGACGACGCAGTCTCGGGCCCACACCTCTCTGTGACCTTCTTCTGGATCCTGGTGGCCGTGAGTACCCCGAGCCTCTTCTTAAAGGTGCATGGCCAGCAAGGAAGCCTCCACGTCAGAGTCAGGGTCGGAGGTCATTGAGCTGGCAAGTGGAGGGCTTAAGCCCCTCGGTGGCCTGAGCCGCTGCCCCGAGGCCCGAGCCCAGCTGCAGGTCTCGCACGTTGCTTCCAGGGTGGAGGCGTGCACCGAGCCAGGTAGGAAAACATGCCTGTGTGTGGTTGTCAATCACTCTGAAAACCAGAGGTCACCTGGCGAGAGCCAGCAGGCCTGGTTACTGACTGAGGCGGCGCCAACAGCCCCACCCTCTCTCATGGGCTGCACCTGCACGGGGAGCACACGGTGGGTCCCAGCCTGGCCTCCCGCAGTGCACTGACACGCGGGAGGGGGTGCCTGCCACGGCTGAGGGCTGAAGCGCAGGCTTGGTGCAAGGTCCTGTCCCCTGGGAACCAGCTGTGTGACAGCGCCCCAGCTGACGAGGCCTCCGCGCCACTGCTTATACCCACTGAAAATCTGAGAATTCTGCGTTACGGGGGTCGACCTGTTAACTGCTTCTTCTTAACCATCGCTAACAGTTGGTGTCGTTTCCTGAATTCCGTAAAGGGCAGCACCTTTCTTTTGCACGAAGTGCCTTGTGGGTTCCAGAGTGGCTGAGTCCTCACGCCATTGCATGGGCGGTGCAGGCCCGCCTGCTCCCATCCACCTGCGCCCTGTGCTTCCAGACACATGCCACACGGCCCCTTGGCGGCCAGGTGGGGCCTGTGCGCAGGGGTCAGCAGCCCAGCCACACGGCCTGCCCGGCCCCCATGTGATCGAGCGGCTCTTGGCCTGAACTGCTCTGAGTCACGAGGACTCTTGCTGAAGCTACTGAGAAGGGACCTGCCTTTTTTTTTTTTTAAGATTTATTTTCATCTTATTTGAAAGGCAGAGTTACAGAGACGGAGACAGAGATCTTCTATCCACTGATTCACTCCCCAAATGGCTGCCATGGCTGGAGCTAGGCCAGACTGAAGCCAGGAGCCAGAAGCTTCTTTTGGGTCTCTCACGTGGGTCCAGGGACCTAAGCACTTGGACCAATCTCTACAACTTCCAGGTGCCTTAGCAGGGAGCCGGATCAGAAGTGGAGCAGCTGGGACTCAAACCGACTGCCATATGGGCATGACAGGCGGTAGCTTTACCTGCTGCACCACAGCACCAGCCTTGGCACCTGCCTTTTTAAGTATTTATTTATTTATTTAAATTGACAGGCAGAGTGGACAGTGAGAGAGAGAGACAGAGAAAGGTCTTCCTTTTGCCATTGGTTCACCCTCCAATGGCTGCTGAGGCTGGCGTGCTGTGGCTGGCGCACTGCACTGATCTGAAGGCAGGAGCCAGGTGCTTCTCCTGGTCTCCCATGGGGTGCAGGGCCCAAGCACCTGGGCCATCCTCCACTGCACTCCTGGGCCACAGCAGAGAGCTGGCCTGGAAGAGGGGCAACCGGGACAGAATCCGGCGCCCCGACCGGGACTAGAACCCGGTGTGCCTGTGCCACTAGGTGGAGGATTAGCCTATTGAGCCGCGGTGCCGGCTGGCACCTGCCTTTTAAAGCTGCGCACTCAGTGGTGAGCAGGCTGTGCCCATGCTCGATGGCTACAGCCTGGGTGGTCACACCGCATCGGCTGTGGACTCAACTTCCTGCTGCGGATGTGGGGGTGGCCTCAGAGCAGTGCACCTGGGCACTCATGCCAGCTATGGTTGAGTTCTGGGACTCCTGGGAGGGGGGCAGGAACAGGCACAGTGTGGGGCGGAGCCTCCTCCTGGAGGGCCAGGCTGGCTACAAGGACCCAGCACTCGCAGGGGAGCCACCCACACATCACTGTCCCAGTGGAAGGTGCAGCATGCAGGGGTGCGGCCAGCCCCTGCAGTCCTGGGGTTCTGGCCTGGAGCTCCCTGAGGACCAGTTCACAGTGAAAGACCTTGTTCTGTCCCACCCTGGTCCCCACAGCCAGCCCTCTTGACATGGCCTTCCCCAGACCCAGTGGACCACCCCACACCCACCAAGCGCTCTCTCCTTGACATCCTGGACCCAGCCCCTCCTCCAAGGTGGACACAGCTGGGAGAGGGCTGCTGGCCCCAGGGAGGCGAGCAAGGGATGCCAAGTGGGGCTCCCCTTGGGTGGGGAGTGAACCAGCTCGACCTGCCTGAATCCTGGCTGGAGCCCAGATGACCAGAGGCCCAGCAGGGGCCCAGGCCTGTGGGTGGAGGGACAGAGCTGGGGTCCATGTAGGCTGAAGGCTAAGGCCCTTCCTGAACTAGGCCCTTGCAGAAGCTGCCCCCACCTCTCTGGCTGAGTTTCCTTCCCGTCCAGGGCACGGCGCTGGACTGAACAGGCCAACTCTCGCCCTCCGTGGCTTCCCCTGTCCCTGCTCCGGTTGCAGGCGGAGGCCCTTTTAGAAATGCCACTCAGGCCCTGTGTTGACCCTTCAGCCTCCTGGCCTGGCCGGATGTCGCCCGGTAGCTGGGCCGGGTCTACCCACTCAGGGCCTCTGCACCTGTGGCTCCTCACCTGCTCCCCTGCCCCGTGTTTCCCCTGCTGCCCAGGCTCCCACTGCTCTGAGCCTGCCTCTGTCCCTCACCTTCTCCCCAGAGCGCCGAACAGGAACAGACCCCCACCAGCAGGTCAGGGCCCCCGTTGTCCCCACTGCCCACGGCAGGGTGGGTAACTTCAGAGTGGGAGACACATGGGGTCACGGGGTCACAGGGTCACTGGCAATCTGGGCTCCTGGAGCCCCAGGGGCAGTGGCCCATGTGTGGGTGCCCCCAGGGCTCAGCACCTCCCACTGCCTGCAGCGTGGAGGATTAAGTCACTTCCTTAAAGCAGGTGTGACAGGTGCAGAGGCGCCCAGGCAGACGCCGCCACGTGTGCTCAGAGTGGATGTCCCAGGGGCCCGAGTCTGGCCGTGGAGAAACGCAGCCACCGCAAACCCTGGCCTCGTAGGGCTGTCTGCGGCAACAGGCACCCTCAGACTAGACTGCAGACGCAAGCCGCAGTGCACAGTGGGACCACCACCGTGCCCCGGAAGCAACGGGCTCTGACAGAGCATCGCGGGAACGGCACAGGGCCTGGCGTGTGGGCCGTGCGGTGACGCTGCTGCGCCCAACACAGAGCCCCGCCTTGCGTGGGTTCTTGGGCCTGGACTTCAGGCACCCGAGGGCACAGATTATTCCGGGGCTCAGGGGTAGAACTCAGGTGTTGACGTGCCATTCCTGCAGGTCTCCCCCAGGCTAATGAAGAGGTGCAATCAGGACTTGAGAGCGCATAGACCTGGGGGAGGCCCCGCCCCCAGGCCTGGGTCTGACAGTGCGGATCTGGACTCTGACCACGGGAACCTGAAATCCTTCTTGTTCCTCTCGTAGTGCTTTCCAAGTGCCATTGCCAGTCACGTGACCGCGGAGTGTCCCAGCAAGTGTCTGGTAGGCATCATGCATCTACGGGCTGGGGTGTGGGGGAGGGGAGGCTGGGGCTGGCCGCAGACTGCTGAGTCCGTCAATCGGGAGAAGCCCTGGGGACTTGGAAGGGAAGCGGAAGCCAGGGCCCACCTTGGAGGCTGCTGTTGGCGGCTGTGGTCCCTGTGGGCCTGGACGCTCCGCCGTGGGCATCTGAGACCTGATGGAGGCATTGGAACTTTAGGGGAGGCCAGGGAGCAGGTCGCAGGGCAGGGGTCCGTGTCCGTGCTGCTCTCAACAGAGCCTCGTGTGTAGGCTCTGCATGCAGAGACCTTAGCAGGAGCCACGTGCTAGCCCGGCACACGTGGCTCTCGCCCTGGGCTGACGCCAGGCCGTACTGCCGGCCCCTGCAGCCCGTGACGGTCTGCCGCCTTCTGCCAGGTGGAGGTGTTGATCGCCATAAGCAGCCTCACAGCCCCGCTGCTGTTCACAGCCTCTGGGTATTTGTCATCCAGCATAATGAGGACGGTGGAGATCTTCAGGGACTACCCGCCAGCCATAAAAGTATGTCCCCTCCTGTATTCAGAATGTTCTAGAAAGATGGCCCCACCATGCCCTTGGCGCGTGTCTGAGGAGGGGTCTGTCGGGGAACGGGATGGTGTCCTGGGCGGGGCCTGCTCCTGTGTGCACCCCATGTGCTGTGTGACTGCCTTTTCCATGTGGACCATGGGTAACTGCACGGCCCCACTGGCCAGCAGGGCCAGCTCTGCTCTGTCCTCCCAGCTCCGGCCGTTCTGCCTGACTCGCCACAGCCACCTGCCTCCTCCACAGGTGGTGAGGGTTTTCTCCGCCCTGAGCCTCCACTTGAGCTGATTTCTTGGGCACATCAAGTTTGAGGAGCACCCCCCACACACACACCAGGTGTCTGGTGGGAGCTGAGTTTGTGGATCAGCTGCAGAAGTGGTGGAGCTGTGCCCAAGACCCGAGTGTGGTCATGGCTGGAACCCGAGCCCCAGTGTGGTCACAGCTGGAACCGGCTTTCCTGGAGTTTCACGACTTGCCCTATTCCCCTCTGCACCTGCTGTTTTGTAGACACTTTGCTTTTTTATGTACCCATTATAAATGGTGTTCCCCCCAAGGGTTTATTATGATAAATTTCCAACGTATAGAACAGACTGAGCCCTGCAGGGGTTTGCCTTGTGTACCCTGTGTGTGTGCTGAGGGCTGAGTGTTGGAAGTGGCCTTTGCCCTTCAACACTGGCACCTCTAAAAGGGAGAGCAGTCCAGTGTCACACCCAGGACGGCCGAGGTTCTCAGGTGATCTGGGAGCCCCGTGCCCGGGTCTGCCCGTTGGTCACCCCGGTCTCTTGCCCCACCTCCCCTTCCCGAGGCTGTGTCTGGGAGGTGGCACCACCTATGGCTCTGGTCCTTTGTTCTGACGGGCACCTGTAGCCCATGGTGTTGGGCTGTGGCTCTGCAAGCATCCCACCCCAGTGGTCCTTGCTGGAATCGCTCTCACCCCGGGAAGTGAAGGGACAGGCACACATGCCACGGGAGGACAGCCCCAGGTCTGTCGAGTGACACCACAGATCCATGGGATCATCAGTATTTTAGGTTTTCTTTCTTTCTTTTTTTTTTTTTTTTTTTGACAGGTGGAGTGGATAGTGAGAGAGAGAGACAGAGAGAAAGGTCTTCCTTTTGTCGTTGGTTCACCCTCCAATGGCCGCCACGGCTGGTGCCCCGCGCTGATCCGAAGGCAGGAGCCAGGTGCTTCTCCTGGTCTCCCATGGGGTGCAGGGCCCAAGCACCTGGGCCATCCTCCACTGCACTCCCTGGCCACAGCAGAGAGCTGGCCTGGAAGGGGGGCAACCGGGACAGAATCCGGCGCCCCGACTGGGACTAGAACCCGGTGTGCCGGCGCCGCTAGGCGGAGGATTAGCCTAGTGAGCCGCGGTGCCGGCCAGTATTTTAGGTTTTCTGATGCTGAGCTGACCCTGGCCCTGAGGCCTGCTCTGCTGCCGTCTTTCCCAGCAGCCTCTGAACCTGCCCAGTGGACCTCATTCTGTCCCTAGCCCTGGGCTCCGTGTGCCTGTTCCTGTCAGTATCATTGCCTTTCATCCCTCTCAGTGGACAAACTGGGAAATGGGGGTATTTAGATGTTTTCTTTTTCTTGATGTTGGAGGTAGTGAGAGACACACAGAGACAGACAGATCCTCCATCTCTGGTCCACTCTCCAAATGCGTGCCACAGCCAGGGCTGGACCAGGCTGAAGTTGGGAACCTGGAACTCGCTCTGGGTCTCCCACGTGGGTGGTAGGGGCCCAAGTTCTTGAGCCCTCGCTGCTGCCTCCCTGGTCTGCCTTAGCAGGAAGCCGTAGTCAAGAGTGGAACAGGAACCGGAACCGGAACCCAGGCACTCGATGTGACAGCCTCCCCTTATCGGGGATAATTTTAAAGATCATGAATTTATATTATTTCCAATTCAAATGGAACACTCTAGGTGCTTTTATGTTTGCATCTTTCTCTTTCTCCCAAAATCTCACCTCCTGTAACATTTAGTATGTTTGCTACTTTATTTCCTCTTATAATACAGAATGCTCGAGGCCAGCCCTGCTAGAGTGCCCATGGCCTGGAGGGCTGGGGCTCGGTGGTGGTCCCGTGGTGCTGGAGTTTCCTGCCGCTCAGGCCAGGGCTCCTCCTCCTGCCCCTCCCCTGCGGCTCACTCAGTCCAGGCTCAGCTGGGCCCTCTCTCTGCCGCTATGCTGGGATGGAGCTGTGGGAGAGTTTGGGTCCCAGTGCCCGGGACCCCTGCCCTCCAGAGCTCTCTGCCCGTCTCAGAAGCGTGACCCCTGCCACCACATAACTGCAAGGCAGTCCCTTCGGCCTCGTCCGTCTTGGCGTGGCCAGGGCGGGCTTGCTGCCTCCCCCCTGACCCTTGTGGTGGCTGGAACGGGAAGGACCAAGAGAAGACTCGCAGACCTGCCGCCCACAGAGCCTGGTGGCCACCCAGGCCCCGCCCAAACCCCCTCCACGCCTGTGTATCAAACCTAAACCATCAGAACTGACCCCAGGATGGACCTCACTTACCAAGCCAGAGTGTTGAAATGATAGAGCACACAGGGCTGCTGGGGTTCAGACGTGAGCGCATGGTGGGAGGCAGCGCTCCTGCCTCCCTGGCTGGAGGGGTCTCCCTGACTGGAGGGGTCTTCCCTGACTGGAGGGGTCTCCCTGACTGGAGGGGTCTCCCCTGACTGGAGGGGCCTTCCCTGACTGGAGGGGTCTCCCTGACTGGAGGGGTCTCCCCTGACTGGAGGGGTCTCCCTGACTGGAGGGGTCTCCCTGACTGGAGGGGTCTCTCTGACTGGAGGGGTCTCCCTGACTGGAGGGGTCTCCCCTGACTGGAGGGGTCTCCCTGACTGGAGGGGTCTCCC